TATATATATATATATATATATATATATATATATATATATATATATATATATATATATATATATATATGCATATAAAAATAGAAATTAATAAATCTTTTTTTGAAAATGCACGTATAAATCTTTTAATTGGTTTTAAAGCCACTTTTTAATTGTTCAAGATATTGTTGACGACAATTCATGTTATCAGCTGGTCTATTATATGGTGTCCATACAGGTTTTCCAATAAAATATCTTTTAGCTTGTATGTAATCCTTAAAAACAATAAAATTATACATCAGATAAAAGGAGAGAAATTAAATGATTAATTATATTACGTGAATCGGATAGTAATGTCACTTTGTAACCTTAAATTGAAACGAATCCATCCAATTTCTAACAAATTTATATTTTTATTCAATAACATAATCAACCTTGTTATCAACAACCTTTCTTCATCTAGTATGCAAATTTTTACTATCAAATTGATTAAAATCAATTGGTTTTTCATAAAAAAATATACAAAATTTGACATTTGTAGAAACGACATTACTTTCTGGTCCACCTTAATATTTATATCTTGAAAAAGTACAAATGAATGAACTTACTTTAGTATCCAAAGTAAATCTATGATATATACCACTTGGAATAATAATTAAATCTCCTGGTTCAACTTCAATACGAATCCATTGATCATCTTTATCTCTTACATCAAAGTAACCTGACCCATCCAAAACCAAACGTATTTCTTCTTCCGTATGAAGATGTTCAGTGAAGAAATTCTTCAACTAATATTTCAATGATTAAATGAAGAATTTTACACGTTAAGAAATAAAGAAGAACACTATGTTTAGTTTTACCTTTTCTTCATAATTAGCGAGACATTCTTTCGAACATGTTATTTCATCTTCATAAGTATATCCACGTTTTTCTTTTAATTCGTTCAATGTAGAATCATTTAAGTGATTTTTATGATCCACCTACACAATATAATTTATATATACATAAAATTTATTAATAACAGTAATAATATAGTTAAATAAAAAAGAAAAATCAATATTAGAAAATATTTGTCTATAAGGTACATATGTTATATATAACCTAACCTTAAAATATTCCACACCAGTTATTGCATACAAGTTAGACAATGATATAAGATCAGTTGATTCCTTTCGGTGTTCCAACCTTTGATCAGCATCACTGTCATCCATGTACCATGCACGAACCATTTTTCAAGAATAAATGTCTAATAATTTCGTCAAATGAAATTTAGTGCGCGTTAATATAACAATATAAATTGATATTACATAACCTATAGAGATTGGCATTATCAATATAATCAACTTTAGTGGTAAACAGAAGTGACGTAGTAAGTGTATGCACATTGTTTCTTTTTTTTTTATATATATATGATAACAATTAATTAAATTGAATTGAATTTTCGTATGTTTTAGTTTACTTTATAAAGAGGTTACATCTTAACAAATAATAATATGGATGATATACAAAAGAAAATTCATAATTATATTATGAAAGAGAATCATAAGGATGGTGAATTAAAATTTCTCACAGCTCGTACAACCATAGAAAATACGATAAAGATCAATAATTTGAGTAAATCTTTATCAGAAATTATTCTTGCTTTTAATCTCGTAAATGAAGATACCAAATTAGTTGTTAATTCAAAATGCATAGAAGTATACAAGTACTTAATGTTAAATACTAATTTCACTGTACAAGAACGTTTGGCTGAAGATTTGACTCATGGACATTTAATCGATATGTGTAACACTTTGTCACCGTATTTATTTATACAAATTATCTGGAAATTGAAGTACGAGGATATTTTATTGGAATGTATACTTCATTCACCATTAGAATTGTGTATTGAAATAATTGACATCGTTAGAAGGTCCATCGAAGAACTTGAATATGAACGAGCCATCAATGTCATATTTCAATTAATAATAAATATTTATAAGAAATTGATTTTAATCGAAAAGAATGGTAGTCAGTCGTTACATATAGAAGATAATATGAAAAGTATGACTGCTCATTTTCAAGAATTATTATTATTATTGAGCAACGACAAAATTATTCGTATGGACAAAATCTCTGATTTAAAGAAATACGAAAGGTATGGTCTGTTGTTAATAAGAATTATTAATATGGTCAAAGATTGTATAGAAAATATTGAAAATGATTTGAAAATATCTGAGGATATTGAAAACATGTATAAAATTACTTTTGGAAATGAACCTATCGTGAAATGTGAGAATTCTCTTATTATGGAAACTATGGCAACGTTACGTCAAGAATTGATGAATTTACTTTTAAAGAAAATCAAAGAAATTGATTGCAACATATATCTAGGATGGGCAGAATTAGATGATAAAGAAAATCCAACAATAACATTACAAAAAGCTATTGGAAATGAATGTTATTATTTAGTTGAATTTTGTAAAAGTAACAAGGATCTAGCAGACAACGAACATTTGATAGAATGCTTGCAACAATTATCCTCTAAGCCAATATCACCTGAAATTAATTCTATCTTTACTTTGGAAGAATTGCGTTATGGTACGACTCAAGGTAAAAAAGAATGTGTCAAAGAATTGATCAGTCGATACAAAGAATGGGATGAAACTACAATGAATTGTATTGATGTTCAAGAAATGTCGAAAAAATCATTATTGGATACATATGATTGTATAAATTTACTGGATTATCTTACCTTTGTACTTGAGCAACCAAATAATGAACAATATCTACAACGTGTTTACACATTTGTTACGGAAATATTGATACAACAAAATTTACAATCCATTTATTCTATCATAGTAGAATATATAACTAAACACAATGGTAAAAAATGTTTAGAACTTTTGTATAACGAAGAAACGTTTAAAGAATTTATCCTAAGAAATACGAACATGAAATCGTTGAAAGTTTTGAAAATAATTCTAATGTTCATTTTAAAAAATCCAAATAACGTATTAGAAATTCTTTTAAAAATAGCTAATGGTTGTTCTGAATACAATCATGTAATGATTACAGCAGAAGACATATTACTTTTATCACCTATATGGAGCATACGAATAAATGAAAATGAAACTCTTTTGAGTAGTACAATGAAAACTGTATGTATGGGGGATGTTGAATGGAATAGAAAAAAATTTAAAGATCTATTATTTATCTTGGTCGATAATGAGCTATTGACAATAAACGAAATAATAAATAATATTCTGGTGTGTTACTTAAGTGAAAACAGAAGGTCGTTAAGTAACACACATTGCATACTTAATTGTATTAGAAAAATGTTAGATCATAATCTTGACGAACCGATAACAGAAATAAATGCTGGTAATTTACTTCTACCTCTTGGACGAACTATGTCATCGATAAGAAAACGAACAGATGTATCGCGTTATTTGATTAACGACGTGATCCAAGAATTAAATTTTCTAATCTATTATGTTTTGGTATATCATACGGATAATATGGATAATTCAATGAAAAGATCTATCACGAAAAATTTCGACTGCATCTTAGAGCCAATAGAAAAAATATATTTCGCATCACTTTGGCCACCATCGAGAAATAATTTTGATCTGTTAGATAAAATTCGTGATTACGAGAGACGTTGTTATTTTGCTATAAATATGCTTGAAAATAATCAAACAATATCAAACGAATTAAAAACATTTTTGTCGAATTTAGATCTCTTAAAAGAAGATGTCATACGTCATATGATATTACGTTCTACTAGTTCAGAATATTTAGTATTAGCTGATTCATACAAAAAGTTGTTCAGTATTGATTTTTCTATTTGCGTATTTTATAACAATTTCTTACGTTTGACAATGGAAACTTGTTCATTCAGTTTGGAATATCCTTCATTATTACCAAAACATTCATTTACCTTTATATTGAAGAATTGTGTTAAATATTTGCAAAATAATTTATTCTCCGAGCAATCTAGTAATCCAGATGATATTACGAATATTTATAAATCAGTTGTTGAAAATATTCGTTCGTTGGATGTAACTATAAAACGTCGTTGTTCTCAATCATATTCTTTATCATTTACGAATCTTTTCGTTTGTATAAATAATAGCGATAGCATCGATGATGATAAAAATAACACGTCTACTACTACTACTACTACTACTACTATTACTACTACTACTACAATATCAGAAACTCAAATAAGAGAATTTTTAAATAATGTAGAACGTTTTACCAATCAATCTATAGAATTGAACGAGTCAAACGATCAAGATAATTGTCAAACCGAAATTTCGACAAATATTTCCAGATATCATTCAATTTATTTATTTATTTCGACATGTATTAAAGTACCAAATTCGAAAATTTACGAATGTATCGATGTAATGAATAATCTCTTTGCTTCCACATAATTTTATTATTCTCTTTTTTTTTTTTTTTTTCTATTAATTTAGAGAAACCTCTTTTTTTTCTTTTTATACAGTTCGAATAATAATATATTGTATAAAAATATATATATATTCATTATTATTCTATACGAAATAAAACTATTATATATTTGTAGAAATAATTGAAATTAATATATTAGGTCGAGTATCATAAATAACTTCCGATACGTCTATGTAGATACTATTTTTCGTATTTATCTACTATAAGTCACCGAAACAAACGAATTTTTGATATCACTGTATAAATGAGGATTCAGTTAGTCTTCTGTCAACATTTTTTTGATGCAGTCAATGTTACATTTAACTATTTTTCTTAACCACTGAAATGGATAGTAAAAAAAAGTGCATATTCGATATGTAATCCTTGAAGAATTGAAACAAGGCAATAGCACTAAAGGTGGCAACTGAAAAAATATACAGCGTATACAGTGCAGGACTGATAACTGATAGGGCAGTTAGAAATTGCTTTGTAAAATTTCCTTCTGAAGATACGATCTTAAAAGATGAACCCAGTGCAACGACGTATTTCCAACTTTGACGAACCTTTAAAGATAATATTGAGAGCAAAATCCAATAGATACAATTGAACAATTGCAAAGAGTTCCAAAAAAAAAAAATGAAAGGTGTCTTGCACTTATCAGTCGCAGAAACGCCATTCTTTGTCTCATAAAAAAAAACGGACAGTTATTTATGACTCGACCTAATATTTCTCAATTGAAGTGATTTCTTTTAAAAATGAAGGGGATGGGGGTAGTGGGAGGAAAAGAAAAGTTCAACGCAAATGGTTGTTGTTTTTTCATAATGAAAAAGAAGAAGAAGAAGAATAATAATAATAATGAAGATAAAAATGTCAATGTTAATAAAACAATATTTTGTTTTCATTATTTCATATTATATTTGTGCGATACTGCCAAATGCCATTACAATAGTTAGTAATAAAAACATGTGAAAAAATTGCGTACAAAGGAAAAAAATGTGCACTAAGTCGTCATCACACAGAGATATAAAAAATTGATCAAATGGGTGTGTAGCACTTTTATTAAAAAGGCGATTTTGTTTTTCTTTTTTTTTTCTCTTTCTTTCTTTCTTTCTTAATATATTTTTTTTTTGTGTTTCTTCTTTTTCAAAAATGTTCTATATTATATGTTAGTAGTTGTTATTCTAAAAACCTGATCTTTATAAACAACAACGTGTACGTAATATATAAATACACGTTTATTCCATTTCATGTGATATTTAATGACGAACATACTGCTTGCACAATTCTACAATGACTAGATAATTATGCTGGTAATTAATGTGTATGTGTATGTGTGTGTGTGTTTAATGTGTGTATGTATATATATATATATATATATATATAGGTATATATATATATATATGATCCAAAACATTTTTTTTTTTCAAGTAAATAATTGTCTTAAGAAAACATTGTTTTGAATTATTATTTATACAAGAAAGAACAAAACAAAAAATTATGACAGACCAATAATAATAGGAAGGGAGAAGAAGAAGAAGAAGAAGAAGAAGAGTGGAAAAGAAAAAAAGAAGATAAATAGAAAGTAAAAGTAAAAAAAAAAAAAAAAAGAAAATTGAATAGAACACAAAATAACACGAGAAAATTATATATTATACATACTTATTTATATAAAAAAAAAAACCTAATCTTATTATAAACTTATTTATTTATTTATTTATTTATTATTTTTTCTTTTTTGTTATTTTCTTTTCTTTTTGTATTAAGGTATTTTTTGTATTTTTTTTCTTTTTTTCTTCTTTTTTTTTTTCCCTTTAAATGTTTTTTTTACCAGCAAGTCAAGCTAAGTTTTTTCTTCTTAATCTCTCAATATTTCTTCCTACAGAAAATCTATGATTTTCTGTACTTTATTTTTGTTTGTTTGTTTTTTTTTCTTTCATAAATATGTTCGCATTACGTATATCGCATATCGCCATTTTCATTTTTTTCTTCTTCTTTTTTTTTCTCACATCCACCCACCCATATGATCTTCCATTTTTCTTATTCTGATATTATCATCAAACATAAAACCTTTTATTGACGTATAGGTCATAAGTCTCAACATTGTAGAAAACAAAAAAAATTGCAAACTTTATTTATTCATTCCACATTTAGAGTTTCCATCTCTCTCCTTCTCTCTCTCTCTCTCTCTTCCTCAATTACCCTTATCAACCCTTTTCAATCCCTATCTCTCTCTCTCTCTCTCTCTTAGTCTATTTAATAAGATGCACATTTTTTTACTGGTATGCTATAATATCCACTTGTCATCATCATCATCATCATCACCATCATCATCATCATCATCATCTTTTGCAATATTTAAAGAGACAAAATTGATTCTCTTTTTTAATTATACATACATATATTTATATATATAAATGTATATATATATACATATACATATACATATATATATATATTTTTGTTTTCTTATATTTAATTAATTAATTAATTAATTAATATATATATATATAATTATGACGCTAATTTGATATATTTACAAATTTTTCACCAATTTTTTTTCCCATTTTTCTTCGTCGTCATCATCTTGTTTTTGTTATCCCTGTTGGTTCTTTTTCATCATTTTCATCTTCTTCTTCTTCTTCTTCTTCTTCTTCATTTTCTTTGTTTTTTCTTCTTCTTCTTCTCCTCCATTGTTTCTTCTTCATTCACATTGTAAAAAATATATAAAGCATTTCGTACATACTCAATATCATACGCACAGGTAGTACTGAAAGGCCGACATATATTCTAAAATTTGTCGTCTTATTCTCTTACTCTCTTTCCTTCTCTATCTCTCTCTCTCTCTCTCTATCTCTCTCTCTCTCTCTCTCTCTCTCTCTCTCTCTTATCTCTTGTTTTTCCATTTTTATTTTTGTCTTCTTCTTATTATTATTATCTTCTTCTTATTATTATTATTCTTTCCTTCAGTTACTTATTAATTTTCTTTTTCTTTTTAAAAAATTTATTTTCTATCCCAATTGATGTGTGACCCAATTTGCGTTAGAAATATTGTGTATAGTATATATATATATATATATATATGTATATATATATATATACATATATGTATATCTAAATTTAATTATATGCAAATTGCTCACAAATCTTTTTTTTATTATATGCCTGTTTGTTTATTTATTTGTCTGCTGTTGCATCTTGCCATATTGAATATTTCGTAGAGAGGTTAGAACAAATTTTCATCATTTTCAATATAAATAAAAGAAAACAAAAAAGAACATGTATATAATAAATAATAATAATAATAATTAATCATAATAATAATAATAATAATAATAATAATAATAATAATAATAATAATAATAATAATAATTAATAATATTCAAAGGAACGAACTGTGGTCCTTAAAATACATGTAGTATATATGATATGCTGCATCTGATTTTTTTTTTTTTTTTTTTTTTTTTTCAAAAAACATGACACCCATATCCAAGATCATCAGCTTAATAAAAAATGGCGATTCTTTTGTCGAGATTATATTAATTTATTCATTCATCTTTTTTTTTTGTTTTTGTTTTTTTGTCTTTCTTTCATTTTCTTTTTTCTTTTATCCTTTTCTCATCTATTTTAAATTACGAATAAAAAGTTAATCCTTTACGTCGTCGTCGTCATCTCTCATCGAAACATTTTATTTTTTTTTTTTATTTTATTATCTCTCTCTTTCTCTCTCTCTCTTTTTTTTTTTATTATTAGAAAAATATTATGCAATTTCGAGTTAAGACGAGCATATCGTTTACAAATATGAGAAAATTTTAGGAATAGAGATTACCTCGTACAAATACTTATATATAAATAGAAATATTTCGTATATGTATGTATGTATTTATGTATGTATATATGCATGTATGTGAAGTACATATTTTGTATACTTGAAAAGCTATATATATTTATCAGGCGATATGCTCGCCTTTTTCTGGATTTGTGTGATCTGTAGAATTTGTTATTAATTAAATTAAATTTAAAAAAAATAATATTAATAATAATAATAATAATAATAATAATAACGATGAAATAAAAAATGTTGCATACATACATATTATATATATATATATATATCAATAATGTTTCAATGAAATTTCTTTTTGATAATCAAATCAGAATAAAAACTACTCTCAATGCAAATCATACTAATTAGAATATTTCATATTTTGTTTGTTTGTTTGTTTGTTTACTTCTCAATATTAAAAAACGAGCAATCATCATAACATTGTGGTGATAGTAGTATATCTACAGGATCACAGCAGGACTATGAAAATTTCTAAGTGATAAAAAATAGTTGAGCACTCTTCTTTCTTTCTTTCTTTCTTTCTTTTTTTTCTTTTCTTTTTTTCCATTCTTCCATTTTTCTTGTCTATTTTTTTTTTTTTTACGTTTTTTTCTTTTTTTCTTTTTCTTTCGCATTATTTTCTTATGAATTAAAACCAAAACAATTTGTTAAAAGAAAAAAGACAAAATATATGTATATATATATTAATTAAATGTATGGCTGCATTAATAAAAAGTCTGTCTCTGTTTTCTACCTTTTTTGTGTTTTTGTTTCTTCTCTATGTTTTACTTTATACTGTGGCTTTTTTTTGCAATAAAAAAAAAAAAACAAAAAAAGAAAAAAAATCATTAATATTTTCTTAGCATCGTTTTTAGTTGGAGGAGACATGTTAGAGCAGCACCGTGTCTCTATATCCATGGTGTATTTTCTTTCATATTTAAAAGTATCATACACCATTAACAACGATGACAGCAGATTGTTTATTTATAATTCAATAAACATTATTATTAATTTTCTTTTATTGGTATACAAATCATTTCTTTTTCTTTTTCTCTATGGTATCATTATTATTATTATTATTAATTATTATTAATTATTATTACTATTATATAATAATAATTATTATTAATATTATTATTATCATTATTATTATTATTAACACTCATTTCTAACTATACCAATTCATAGAAATTACTATACATCAGTTATTATTATTAATTATTATTACTATTATATAATAATAATTATTATTAATATTATTATTATCATTATTATTATTATTAACACTCATTTCTAACTATACCAATTCATAGAAATTACTATACATCAGTTCGATCATTGTTTATTAATCTTTATCATTATCATTATCATTATAATTATGATTATTATTATTATTATTGTTATTATTATTATTATTATAAATTTTTGGCATATATTAGATATATAAATTGAAATGATATTACATTAAAAAATAACAAAACTGTAATCTATAATTGTTGACAAATTAATAACCCATTAGCTGCCACGATCTCCATTTGAGAATTTGGAAATTTTACGTACACCATTCGGTTTTATGTGGACTTTATGGAACAAAATGGCATAATAATAGCTATTTTGTATGTATAGAATAATAATACAAGAAATAAGTAATAGTCTCTTATTAGTTTCTTTGTTTTTCATGCAACCAGTCACAATTCCCATTGAAGACTTTTTCTTTTTTTTTTTTTAAATATCAATATTTCTGAAACAACAAATAATTTGGCAATTAATGGATTAATGATTTTTTGTTTCTTTTTCTGAGAGAACGTACTTTTAATATAATTTTGATATATATATATTACCCTTATAATAAAATAATAATAATAATAACAATAATAATAATAATTAATTAGTTAATGAATAATAATAGATCAAGTTTATAAAATGACTGTTTATGGTATTAAAGCGATATTTATGATTTTGATCACACGAGAAAATTACACACGATCTAATGCTAAAGCAAATCTTCTTTTTTTTTTTTGTTTTTTTCTTTACATTTATCAATCAATCAATTAATCTCTCTCTCTCTCTATCTATCTATCTATCAATCTCTTTCTTTCTTTCTTTATATATTTTCTTTGACTGATTTGACGATGTAGAACTGCACCTGGAGATTCTGCATTTATTATACAAAGCAATGGACACTTTGGACATTGTTACAAGAGTACCACATATTGGATATAATCGTTGGGATCAATGCATCTGCAAATCTTTTGCACAAAGAGAATTTATTATCACGAATTTATAAAATCATTGTTTTATTTCATATTTTATTAGTCTCAATTCATAAAAAATATAAACTTATATATATAAACATGATGATAAGATCATATTCTTACGTTTTTTATGTTTTGTTTTATTTTTAAGATTAGAATGGATATATAAAAATTAAAAACTTTTGCTCTAGTTTTAATTTGGAAAAAGACTTTTTTTTTTTTCTTTTCTTCTGTATACATCATCGCAGTTTTGTCAACGTCATACTTTTTCTTTTCTTTTCTTTTATTTTGTCAAACAACCATTGATTTTTTTTCTTCTTCTCATTTTATTGCAAGCGATATGCATGGAAAGATCTCAACATAATTATATAAAGTATGAGTAGAAAGTACAAAATAGAAGAATATCGTTTGAGAAAAATCGCATTTGATAATAATGAAGAATGATTTACATTATCATTTTAAACCCCCCCCCCCAAAAAAAAAGAAAAAAACACTTTGAAATGTCAAACGCAATTTGTCAATATCAATTTTGAAGACGATGTTCTTCTTCTTTATATTTGTGTTTCATTTTTTTTTTTTTTTTTCTATAAAATATTTCTTTAACCCTTTCACTACTACGGGTGACTATAGTCACCCGCCACAAAACGACACCCGCACACGACGGGTGACTATAGTCACCCGTCACACGATGCCACCTATACGCGACGGGTGACTATAGTCATAGACTATAGTCACATAATTATGAACAAAAATCATTTTGGTTCTAAAAGTAATGTCACAAAGTCGTTTTTGAGACAATAGGCTCCGAATGCTAAAGACTGCGCGCGCTTAATGTTCCCACTTTCGGTACGGCGCTCCGTTCTAGACGAGGTACTTCGCGGCGAGACCCACCGTAGCGAAAGGGTTAAGAACTAGAGTTTTACTGTACAACTAATTTACGAAAGCCGCTAAAAATCTTGGTCGCATATTACATTGTTGTTTTTTGTTTGTTTGTTTTTTTTTATACGACGTATTTTCTTTAGTGAGGCCTTCGACACTTAAGCATAGGTAACATATTATTGACGCAAATCATTGCACAAAACTTATCCAAGATCAACACCTTGATCCTACCTACAAACCAAAATACAACTTCTTCTACAAGATCTCTTTTCGCTTTAGATGGTACAACTTATATATATATATATATATATAAAGACTTATAAATTGTTTAAAACCTCTTATCTAATTGAGATATATATATATATATATTTTACGAAGTTCATTCCAAATTTACTTCAGTAGAGAAAGAGCACAACCGTCTTCGCAAGGACGGTTGACCATCACAGTGACTTTCTTACAAAGAGAAAAAAAAAAATAAGCAAAAGTCTTCTAATTTCCACACGAACTAGGATCGACCAGTGGACAACGAACAACGTTGTACGAAAAAAGTTAGTAGTTCAATTGAATTTGGTTATTACAAACGCAGGCCAATAATAATAATAATAATAATAATATAATGTTGCTCTTGGTTTTACCCATGTTCGTCACTTTGGAATATTGGTCCGTTACCAAAGGAATTCACCCCCTTTTTCTATATGCTCGCTTACATATATTATTATATATTACAATATTACATATAATACTATCAATGTATATTAAAATATCCGTTTGATGGTCGCTAGAAAAAGGCTGACCTTGATCCTCCGATAGAAAAAGAACTGAATTAGCATATATATATAATATATATATATAGTCCTTAAACGTTGAACTTTTCCAAAAGTTTCAGTACAACCACAAATTAGTCTCGAAGGTTGGGCGAATTTGTCGCATGGCTTGGCTTATTTTCGAAGAGAAAACAATACATACAAAATAATAGAAAAGAAACGAGCATAAAATAGTTTCAATCAAAATTCTTTATACAATAATCTAATGATAAAAGAAATCAATACGGATAAGTAAAGATAATTGAGAGTTAATATCATGATTAGACTGAATAGAAAATGAATAAAGAAGAATAATAATAATAAGAAGAAGAAGAAGAAAAAGAAGGATGAAAATTCAAATAAATTTGTAATAATACAATAGACTTCTCACAAGCCGATCTAGCCAGCATAACTAAGAACATCTATCTATAATAATAATAATAGTAATAATAATAATAATAATACGAATACGAATAAAACGAATTGCCGATAATAAAAAAAAGGGAAGATTTAATTAAGTATTAGAGGACACTGCAGCAGCAATAGCTTTTCTTCTCTTTCTCAGGACTGAAGTTCATTTCTCGCACTATTTCGGCGAACATCTCGTTGACGTTCGTACGATTTTTAGCGGAGGCTTCGACGAAAGGACAACCCCATATTTGTGCGAGTGCGCTTCCCTCGGATGTTTCGACTTCGCGTTGATGTTCCAAATCGAGCTTATTGGCAACAAGTAGTACGGGTACTCTTTCGGTGCCTTTAACGCGAGTAATAAGCTCCTTCATAGATTTAATATCCTGAAAGGTCTGATGATTGGTCAGACTGTAAACTACGACGAAACCTTGACCATTTTTTATATAAAGGTCACGCATACTCGCGAATTGCTCGGTACCGGCGGTATCGAGTATTTCGAGTACACACGGGGAACTGTCGACTTCGATTTCCTTTCGATAAAAATCCTCGATAGTTGGATCATATTTTTCCATGAAACAACCGGAAACAAATTGTACTGTGAGCGCGCTCTTGCCCACCCCGCCCGAGCCGAGCACGACAACTTTAAATTCACGCATCTCGTTGTCGTCCTCGTCGTCCTCCTCGTCGTCGTCGTCGTCGTCGTCGTCGTCTTCTTCTTCTTGGTCGTCGTCGTCGTGGTGATAGTTGCCAGTGGCACCACCTCCTAGTCTTTTCTTCTTCCTCCTCCACCTCTCCTCCTCCTCCACCGGCGCCACCACCGCCCCCTCCTCCGCCTCCCCTTTCCTCGATCCTCAACGTGTTCACGAGAGTAAAGGTAACCCAAGGGAAGACGTTAAACGGAAGGAGCAATGTTCGCTAAGTGTCAACAAGATTCAAACTCTTTTATCCAAATAGACGATCAACAATAACAAAACTAGTAGTAACGTTAGACGTTATCAATGGTACTACTAACAGTAGAAGTTGTAGTTGTGTTGTGTAGTGTAGTAATAATAATAGCACAAACACAATAGCTATTATTTTTATCCTTCTTCTTTTTTATCCCTAATATCCGTCTTTACAATAAACACTGTGCGTGTTAAAAAAAACAAAAGAAGTAAGCAAGCAGACTGTGGGCTGCTCGTGGCTGCCGCTACCAACACTGTCCACTTCCACTTCCACCTCCACCACCACTACCACAAACACTACCACCACCACCTCCTCCTCCTCCTCCTCCTTCTATTCCTCGCACTCGCACCAACAACACCACTACCAACACTCTAATTACTTGTAGTAGTAGTAGCAATAACACAGCAGCAGACAACGATGACACCACCAAGTTCACTTCCACTTTAGACGACGACAACGGTGACGACACTGTCCGATGCAATAGTTGTACAATCCCGTTATTGTTAATGTTATTGTTATTGTTGTAACTACTAGTGGTGAATGAAAGACGTCTGATCCTTTCGAACAAAGGCATCGATGGCACGATCGAGATGGGATCTACGTACTATCGGAAATATCACTTACGAGACTCGCCCCAGGCACTAAGGTACTTTTCTTCCCGATACTTGCAAGAAGACATGACATACACCAACGCCTTCTGCACTCTCTTCTTAGATTCTTCTTCTTCTTCTTATTATTATTATTATTTTATCTACTTGTGGTGTTCCTGTTATTCCTGCTACTGCTACTGCTACTGCAACTGCAACTGCAACTGCAACTGCTGCTGCTGCAACCACACACGGCTTCTCTCAACGTCGTCGCTACTCTACTCTCTTCAACTATTCTCTGTTTCTCTCTCTCTTTTTCCTCCCTTCTCGTCTTCCACCTCCTTCCTTCCTGCCAGTCCCAATCGTACCAGCGAACCGCCTTAACTGTCCGTATAAAACACGCATCAGCCTTCGCTGGGTCCTTGTTACTGTTCTTCTCCTTCCTTTTTTTTTGACTTTCTATCTCCCTCTTTCTTTCTATCCCTCTCGTCTTGTCTCGTCTCGTACTCTTCTCTATGACGTGCGAGACGCCATATTGAAAATTACCTTTCAGCCTTTTTCCCTTCCTTTCTTCCTTCCTTCGACAGAAATGTTCCCCCCTTGTCTGTCACGAGCCAAGTCAACTTATGTTCCAGCGAGCAACCAGCAGACAACCAACCAACCAACCAACCAACCTAACCAACCAATCAACCAACCAATAGTTCGTCCGTCCGTCCTTAGATCTCGACTAAGACTACTACTACACTAGTCTCGACCAAATATCTCATTTGTTGTCTCTCTTCTACTATTCTCGATTGTTCATGAAAGCGTTCCATCTATATCTCCTACTTCTCTTTCTTTACCTTACTCAGTTACTCTTTAACTCATACTATATCTCCATCTCATTCATTAACGAACGTCACTGAGCGCTTTTCCGATCATTCCACGTGATACTGCTATCCTTGATGTTGATTGGCCGTCGCTCTAAACGTCCACCAATCAAAATTCAAGATGCTTCGTTCTAAGCTACCCTTTATATTCTACTTGCTTCTCCTTTACCTCCTCCTCCTCCTCCACCTCCTTATCCTTCTCCTCCTTATCCTTCTCCTACTCCTCCTTATTCTTCTTCTTTCTCTTTCTCTTTCTCTTTCTCCGTGCACTCGTGTTGTTTCAACTACCAACGATAGCCGGGAACGTAGGAAAGAAAGTTCTTGTCTTTTTACCGGATGCAGGGCCAACGTTAACTTGCTTCTCTTATCTTTAGGAGGAGGCTAACGATATCTACGACCTCGACGTTCCGTTCCACGTTCATTGTGGTTACTCTTCGGAAAGAGCACATTGTTAGGATTACTACTGATAACATTCAACCGCTATTTCAATTTGATGATCCTAGAATAATAGAGTCGTAGTAGTATAATAAAAAGATCGTCTTTTTAAACAAATTTTTCTCTTTGTTTTTTAATAATAGTATAATAAAAAAGTATATGAATTAATAATAATAATAATAAAAATAATACTTCAAGCACGAGCATGAATTTCTTGGAGGTAAGATAAAGCTCTTGTATTTATTTATTTAAACATTTAAGTTTAAGAGCTGATGTCTTAACACAACCGCCATTTTGTTTTTATTTGAAAATCTAAAAATACAAATATTTCTTTTCTAACTTATTTTCCTTCTTTACAATAATTTAATATTTTTTTATTTTTATAAATAATACTTAGTACGAACACTTTTATGTGATCGTAATGTGAATACTTACATACATACGTATGTATATATATATATATATATATAAAATGTATATATAAAATGAAAATAGAAAAATATCGACCAATGTGAGAAAAAAATCTTATTTTTCAGTATGCACACACCACACACCCACATGAAAACGAGGCATAAAGTACTCTTAGCAAAGACTCGAAAATAGATCGATGAAAAATTCTATTACGCATGGTACATACATATATATATATATATACATACATACATACATACATACATATATATAAATATTCAACGTAACAGTTTTCCTCTTTATTCATTTTGATGTTCCATCGAGGACATTGATAAAAAATAACGCACAAATTAATTACAAAGAAGAAAGGAAGAAAGGATAACAAAAAGAGATATAAAGCATTGAAAATTCAAGTTTGTGTGCGTGAGTAGAGACACTTTCTTTACACACATGTATATATACACATACACACGTCCATAAATATTTATATATATATATATATATATATATATATAAATATATATAAAAAAAATATATATATATATATATAAATATATATAAAAAAAATATATATATATATATATAAATATANATATATATAAAAAAAATATATATATATATATATAAATATATATAAAAAAAATATATATATATATATATATATATACAGATGTATAAAATTTCTTGATATTACTATTTATAGTTCGATGCCTTCGTTTTTTTTTCTTTCCCCAAGAACCGGAAGTTCGCTTAGTCGTTACATTTACATACATACTTACACGCATATGTCTACTACTACTACATATGTATATGTAGAAGATATGTGAAATTGTGGTAGTGTTAATACGTGCATGCACAAGTGCGTGCGGTGACCGTTCGTCACGATCCTTGCGGTAGCAGGGGAACATAGACGCAAATCGGATTCGATGACGTCATCGTCCCAACGATGAAAGCACATAACTAAGCGATGCATCATTTGTGTGTGACACGGGTTTCTCTTCGTCTCTCAAATATTCTTCTTCTTCTTCTTCTTCTATCTATCTCTTTCTATATCTCTCTTTCTATTGTAGTATATCCAATTTTCTTACAATTTTAGATGAATCAGAACCGGAAATTGAGTGCACTCCTTTTTAAATTCATATACATACACCTATTAACACATATCAAAATTATATTTCATTTGTATGCATATCATAATATTGGTTTATTCGAAAAGTTCATATATAAATTGATATTTTTGTCCTATGCATAGTGCAAACTAATCTCATTTTTAAATTGTAATGTACATTAAAAATATCAATCTCAATATGAACTTTTTTTAAGGACAACCTTTTTACATATGAAAAATTATTTTTGGAAAGTGGTATAAGTTTAATTTTGAACAAAATAAAATTAAATATTACGAATAATTTTTCATATTGTTAAAAAGAAAAATATATATATATATAACATAATTAATGGACTTACATTTATTATCACTTACAATTAAATCCACTGTCATAATTATCAGTACATAATAGATATATATATATTTATTTATGTGTACATATATAATTAATGATAATTTACATCAATCGAAGATTAGTTTGTATTTTTTTTTTATCTCCTATCTCAACTTCAGATACTTTAATGTCAATAATGATACATACCTATTTAAATACATATAGATAGATTCGTTTATTTTTTGTTTTGCACATGTTGTTGCAAGATAACCACAAGGATATTAGTTATGCAGTTATATTCCAACAGATGTAACGTAAACATCATCTTTTGTTCTAATAGTTCGGAAAAATTGTAGTCTAATTCAAGTGCACAAGTATCGATCAGGAACGAAACGTTGACAACAATCTTTTTCTTCGTAAGAGGGATTTTCCCTACCTCTCCCCCAACATTTAAGTTCTATCTTCGAAATTGATATTATCTTAAGTAAATATTTGTTTATATATATATATATTTATGTGTTATATGTATGATAAATGTAATCAGACGCATGCGTCATCATTTGGGGTTCTAGGATCTGAGAAGTTTCAAAATGTATTTCGCTTTTTTATTTTTTTTTTTTTTATATTTCAAACTCCCTCCCAATTATCTAACCGTATTTTAATTCAACTGGTGTTGTTATATTTTAATAATCATTTTATTATGGGTGTTGCATGTATTTTTTAATGAAAGATTTATGTTGTTGAAATAAAATAATTAAAAATAAAGAACATCGATAAAAAGCAAAAAAAATAGAAAGATGGCGACGGTACTTAAGAAGCTTGTGTCGTATAAGTTTCGATCCGTGGTAATTCCGATGATTAGGATATTTAACAAATAAAAAAAAAAAAGATAATAATGTATAGTAAGAAAATCTCTGATTGTGTCAGATGAATCAGACACCACCGGTTGTGTGTCGAGCACAAACGTGCCAGTCATTTGTCTTAAGTCACGTATCTTTGGAAAAGTAAATTGTTTGACAATGGCGTCATTCAAATAGGATGATTAAAAATTTATCATTTTATAGAGAAAAAAGAAAAAAAAAAGAACAAACAAACAAAAATAGATTTCAATGATAACGTTACAAAAAAAAAAAAGAAAAAAAAGAAGTCATATTCGAAATAGGATTAATGGGAAAAAATAGTTCTTTATGCTCGTTTGTTTTTGTTCGTTTCGATCGAATTCGAATGACATGTTATGGGTGTTATTTCTTCTTTGCACTTTGCAATAAGCAAATCGTTAGAAAGGATGCTTATTATCCGTGATATGCGGTGCGTTATCGTTATTCCGTTCGTCTCGCGTTTCTCACATTAGTTACAATGACCTTTTAACAGTGGCTCGTGCCGCCAGCATACTACGCCGCTCCCGGACGATGACCTAACCATCATCGTGTTGCATTGTTTCAATATTTAACTTAATAACAGAATAAAAAAAAGAAAAAAATAAAAGAGACTAAATGTAGAAAAACACAGGAAGACAAAGAAAGAGGTTAGCTAAAAAAAACTTAATAGTATTTTAAACCTTTTTCTTCTTCTTCTTCTTCTTCTTCTTCTTGATCTTTAAGTATCGATAAGAATATATGAAAATAGAAATCGTAGTATCGAATTGATTGAATATTTTTTGTTGTCTTTTCGTCAGTAGGATGAAAAAAATGCAACGTTGTTATCATCTCATTTGCAGGGTGCATTTCCTCCTACTCGCGCGTCCTTGCACGCATGCGTACAAGTACAAGTGTCGGTAATAGTAGATCGCTCGTAGCGTTGCGCTCGTCGCGTCATCTCGCGGATAATACGGGAATTTTTCTTCTTCTATTGGTCAGTCAACAAGATTTCTACGTTGACACCGCGAACAAATTCAAAATAAAATTGTCTATTCATTTTGAAATTGAAATGAAAGAAATAAATTCATTGATTTTTCTTCGCATTATTCTTTTTATTTTCAGATCGTTTGATAGGACAAATTGAAACGTACACATAGGAGTAACGGAATCAATAATTATAATTGATCAAATAAAAAAGAAAAATTAATGGTTTTTTTTTTTGAAACAAAATTATGCTACGAACGTTCTCAATGTATCAATAATAGAAAAAATAATAATTATATATTATTTTGAATAAAATTTTGTAATATCGCAAATTTTCCAAATATTTTATATTATTGAAGATAAATTCGTAAAGTATAGTTACAATAATCCGAGAATAAGAGAGAGAGAGAGAGAGAGAGAAAGGGAATACAACAAAAAAAAAAAGAAGAAAAATGACTACTCCGAATTTTGTACAACCCAATTCGTTTCCCACGCCGATGTATCATCAACCAGGAATGCCTATTGCGAGTGCACCCGGACCAAATGAATTTCCAACACCGATGTATGTGCCTCAACCACCGCCAGGTAAATAAATATAAATCAAATATTAATTAATTACATTTACCCGTTTACAAAATTAAATTCCTCATTGCTAGAAAAAGGTGTATGCGTTTATGTGTTTCATTTGGAAAATGATGAATTTAATTTGCAATAATGTTATATGATTTTACACAAGGGTTTAATTGATAATATAAAAATATTACAATATTATATTTGCAAAAGGGATTTATTTGAAGTATAAAACCTGCAAAGGCTACTGGAGATGTAACGATCAGAGTAACTAGATAATGGTCGTGTTCGTTAATATAAATGTCGGACAGATTATTCCCCCCCCTTCCCCTCCCCTTTCACTTGATCTGTACTCCCACCTACGCGAATTGTTGCCTCTTATCAGATCACGACAGATAGATAGACAGAAAAAACGATACAGAAAGATAGATAGACATACGAAGAGTTCATTTTAAGTTTCATCAAAAAATCTGTTAACTACGAAGAAGTGAAGAAAAGATTAATTGAATTTTTTGTTTTTGTTTCTGTTTTTGTTTTTTTAAAATTAAATTCGCGAATTTATACATTTGATAAATAATTGAATAAAATTATTCAAAGAAAAATTGTAATATAACGACGAATTATTTCAACGACGATTAATAATTTTGTAACATCAGTTTTGCGTGTATTATAAAAAATTTGTGTGAGAAAAGAACAAAATGGTTGGGCAAATTAATTGAAATTTCAATCTTATCATTTTGTAAATAAAAAAAAAAAAAGAAAAAAAAAAAGAAAAAACATGTGTTCTATCGTGAGTGAAGTGAAGTGATGAAATGTATATTTCTAAAAGAAGAAAAAAAAGAAAAACAATAATTTTTCTTCAAACTTCTAACAAATGAAAAGAACGTGTTTTATTTATTTATATATATATATTTTCTTTCTTTTTAATTTTATCCCAAAAACGTATACGTAAATTTTGACGAAATTAAGATCAAATGTTTTGTTGTTTTATACATACAATAATTATTCGAACACATTTCTCTTTTACTTATATAATAATATAATACTGTAATTATTTTATTACGTGAAATGTGATTTATTTTCTCTATTTTTTTTTTTTTCTTATAAATTTAATAATCTCTATGTTTCTTATTGAAATTAACTACTACTCTCTCTACGACATTTTCTTTTACATTGAAAAAGATATGAGACAACAAGTATAATAATACTAAATCGAATTTTATCAATTGTTTGAGATTATTATATCTGTTCCCATTTTGTCCCTTAAATTTATCTAGCAATAAAAAGATAAAAGTAAAAAAAAAAAAAAAAGAAGAAAAAAACCAAAAAAGAAAAAACAATCAGTAAAACAAAACCAAGAGATAAAGATAGAGAAATATAAATATAAATGTATATATGTGTGTGTGTGTGTGTGTTTGTATCCTTCAAAGGAAAATAATTCTACAAGCATTATCTTTACAAAAGAAGGGGACTGTAAAGAATATATATTTTGTTTTTTCTTATACATAACAAACATATATTGGAAAAAAACTCAATGTCTCACACAAACATACACAGAGCGAGCCTAAGTTCTCCTCTTATCTTCTAAAAGTTAATATTATAAACATGCATTAAATTATTCCGATCATTATTGTACGAGGAATAACGTTAACGGGACAATATATACATGTATATATATCTATATATATATATATATATGTGTAACAGTAAGAAATAGAACATAATTTTATAAACAAACAAACAAAAGATATTCTAAGAAAAATTGAGAAAACAAAAATATATTAAAATAAAATGAAAATGTTAAAAAAAAATAACAGGAAAGTAAATGTTTGAAAATTATTAAAAATAAAAGTGAAGACGAGTGATGGATTCGGAATATTTCGATGATTCCTGGAACGTTAAAGTGCAACAATTTCGTAGATTTATTCGTACGTTGTTTAGAGAAACGATTAGAAAATGTCGTTCTAGAAGAAGAGGATATACTAGATTTTTAACCGACGATGAAAAAAGGTTTAGAAAATGAATCATTGAACAACGGGTATCTTGAAGAAGAGTTTTGTGTGTTATATTTCTTTTTTCTTTTTTGTTTTTCTTTTTTTTTCAAAATATAAAATATCTCGAGAACCGTAACGAAGTTATTTAAAATTAGATTTGAGATTTGTAAGAATTCTGAGTATAAATATTAACAAATTTTAAGAATTAAAAACGATGAATTAATTCATTTTTAAATTATATTTTGATATGATATGTGTTTTTCTTAAATTTATAAATAAAATAAAATTCGATAATATTTTTCCGTGGATAAAAATGAGTGTCACCAAGTATGGAAAAGTTTTAGAAATATTAATCTATGTTTTAAGTTTACAATATGTAACACTGACTCTTCTTTTGGAAACCCATTCGATTGTTGTTTATTTTTTTAATGAAATATTTTCTTGTAAGATAATTTTTTTTTCTTTTTCTTTTTCTACTAAAACAATGTTGATTAATGTTCATCAATTAAGTCTAATTTATTTGTAGAAGGCAATTAATAAAAAAAAAAAAATAATGTGAAAAATGTGTATATGAAAATGAAAAAAAAAAAACAAACAAAGGTGTTTTATATTTACAGGTGGTTGGCCCGCAACGAATATGATTTGTCCGCCAGGTTTGGAATACCTTATGGGCCTTGATCATTTGTTTGTCAAACAAAAGATCGAACTTTTCGAAGGTTCGTATTAAATTGAAATTGATGTGGATTTAATGACAGCTGTGTAATTTGAATATTTAATGTGTCTGAGATAAACGATAATTTGTAGAAAAACATTTCCATTAAATTCTTCATTATAATTATGATTTTACAAAATTACACATAAATTATTGTATAAGGAATAATATTGAATACAATTATTTTCAGTAATTGTCGATTTTGAAACTAAAAATAAATATAAAGTAATGAACATAAGGGGTGAACAAATTTATTACGTAGCTGAAAAATCAAGCTGTTGTTCGCGTTATTGTTGTGGAACTTATCGCAGTTGCGAATTTCAAGTAATGGATGGTGTGGGAAGAGAAGTTCTTAATATGATTCGTCCATTGAAATGTGATAGTTGTTGCTGTCCATGTTGCTTACAGGTATGTCTTTTAAATATAACACAATCAATATAATAATATTCATTGAATGTATTTCAATTTTATTGTATGTATTAACGCCATCGCAGCAAAAATTCCGCTAATGCGCCAATCTACACCTTAAATTGTTGCGACAAATCATAGAATAAAAAACTTGATTTTAAATCTTGATTTACTTTGAAAATTCAAAACATTTTATTTATAAAAAGTAGTCAATCGGATTTCGATGGAAAATAATCGGGCCGATATAGAATTTAACATAGATTCAAAACAGTCTCCATTTTCTTTCACCTGATGCTGTTGTCATAACCCTGACGAAACCCTGACGGTTGCTGTGTGCAAACAACAAGGTTGTTGTGTGCGAACAACAAGATTGCTGTTTATTGGCGCATTAGCGGAATTTTTGCTGCGGTGGCGTTAATATGTAAGTATCTAATTTTGTTCATCTATATAATGATGAATTATTATTATTATTATTATTATTATTATTATTTTATTATAGGAATTGGAAGTTTATTCTGGTGGTGTTTTAATGGGATCGGTTGTTCAAGATTGGTCTATTTTTAGGCCATGGTTTTCAGTACGCAATGCAAATGGCGATACGGTACTAACAATAAAAGGACCATTATTGCGTTGCCTAGAAGCTAATTTTAAGGTAATTATATATTATTTTTTTTTATAATCAATACTTTATTAATAGTTGTTTATATTTTTCAAATGATTTAATTAGGTAAAATCTGCCGATGGTGTTCATCGAGTTGGTATGATAAGTAAACAATGGAGCGGCATTACTCGTGAATTTTTTACCGATACTGACAATTTTGGTATAAGTTTTCCTTTAGATCTTGACGTTAAAATTAAAGCCGTTCTTCTTGGTGCATGCCTTTTGATAGTAAGTACGATATAATAATAACAATATATTTCAATTAATTTTATATAAAGTGTGTTTCCCAATATGTGAAATCAATTTCAAAAATGAACGGAAAAACAAACAAGAAACAATGAAGAAAGTTTCATATAAACGTGTATTATATTTGATAGTTTTACTTTTGTGTTTTAATAATCCAACGATAGCTTAGTATCTTTTAAAAAAGTGTTCAAAATAATCATTTTTATGATCAAATGAGAGGACAAATGTTTATATGAATTATTGTTATGGTTTAGTGTCTTCTCTTGTGCATTTTTGAGATGAAACACCCTATATATATATATATATATATATATATATATGTTGAAACCTACAGTATTCAAAGATCTAATTTCTAGATATCACATTTTTTGATTTGTGTTATCTTCTACAATAAAAGTTGATAACGACGATAATACAACTTCTGTATAATATTTTATCTTTCTTATACTGTTGTGTACTCTTAAATTGATATTTAATGCATTTACAACTCTACGTCTAAGATGATATTAAAAATGGAAACGTTTAGTACTAAAGATTGAAATAAAACAAACAAAAAAATAAAAAGAAAAAATGAGGAATATTCGATAAATTAAGAAATAATGAAAATACAAGGATAAATTACTAACATTTTATTTCAATGAAAATTCCTATATCTGAATAATTATTATAATCTCTCTATTAATTCGGATACTGGAGGTTTTACTGTATTAATATGTAACATGATATATATATATATATATATATATATATATATATATATATATATATATATANATATAATTAATTATTATTTTATCAATTACAGGATTTCATGTATTTCGAAACTTCTCCTACTTAATGTGATTCTTCTTTTGAAGACAGGGAGAGAAATTCTACCGAGTTGCTTATTAAATTATAAACTAGTAACAAATATTTATAAAACTAAAAAGAACAAAATGCGCTTTTTATTAAATGTCTTCGATTATTTATACAAATACTCTACTTTTTGAGATAACTTAATTTAATATACTCTCTATCAAATATACAAATATATATATGATCACACCCTTTTTGAGATACCTGTCATATAAATATTATAAAAATAAAAAAAAACAAGTGGATCCATTAAAGTCTTAAATCTGAAACAGATATTATATTCGGATGTGGGCATCTTTAGGATGCACATCCCTCGTGGGTCTTCAGAAACGGCTACCTCATCATGGTTAGACCCGGGCAATGGTATTTTACTTTCAATATAATGTTTATCATATTTTTATATGATATGCATTCCATTGCAAGTAAAATCCAGCCAAAGACCGCTTGTTATAAACATTGTAATTTTAATTAATTTCTTTTTTATTATCTCATTAATAATTTATTCCTTTCCATGATTCTTCCTATACATTTCATATATAGAAATTAATTATATTATAATGTTTTTTAAATAATTTTTATATCTTTATAGGACCCATATGGAATAATCAAGAATTGTTGATATTTAATTTTCATTTTACTTTGTTTCATGATAGGTATTACTCTCGATACAATACATTCAATCGTATTTTAATTAATTCTTTGAAATAAAACTCATTAAATATAGAATTAAATTATATTAATGTATTTATGAATTATAAATTATTGTATATATTCTAAATTGTTTTCTTTTTTTGTATATATATACATAATGAAATGTTTGTTAAAATATTATAATTAATAATGATAATTGTTTATAATTAAATAAAGAATTTGGAAGCTTTGCTGAAAAATTGGAATAGTATTCAATTTCAATTTCAAAAATACCGCCAATCTCAGTCGTGGTTAGTTACAGTGGTGTCTCTGGTGTGCATTAAACTTTTCCAAGTAGCCATCTTATGATTGGTCAAGTTCTTTCTTTTTTAACCAATCACGCGACGTATCATATCTCGTATATTTTTCGTATCAAGTTGGCATCAGTGTTAAATGTAGTTATCACGTACTTAACGCGGTATGCGAACGTATACAGAAATTTCTTACTTTTGTGTCAATTTATTCGGATTAAATATGTAAGAATAAGGTAGATTGATTGTTTATAACGAAAGTATAATAATAATTATTTTTCTTTGTATTATTAAGATGTAATATAGAAATTTGTTGCAGAACTAAGTTGGAAATACTTGAGACGTATTTCTTGTTAACAGATCACCCCCCTAGGGGTGGGGTCTTCTGTCATTTAAAGCCAAAGAATTAACAAGTTATGTCAGCACTGTGAAATAAAAGTGAAAAACGTAAATCATGGCACGTCCTATTGTACCAAGTCAACAAAAGTTGGCTGAGAAGTTAACTATATTAAATGATAGAGGTATTGGAATGCTCACACGTATTTATAACATTAAAAAGGCTTGCGGTGATGCCAAATCCAAACCTGGATTTCTTTCTGATAAGACTCTTGAATCTTCGATAAAGACAATAGTTAGAAAATTTCCCAATATCGACATCAAGGGACTGCAAACGATTACTGGTCTACGTAATGAGATTATCAAATCTCTTTCTTTGTATTATTATACGTTTGTAGATTTACTCGACTTCAAAGACAATGTTTGCGAACTCTTGACTACAATGGACGCATGTGGCGTACACATGGATATTACTATCAATTTTGATTTGACTAAAGGTTATCTGGATCTTGTTGTCACTTATGTCAGTTTAATGATACTACTTTCAAGAGTCGAAGACCGTAAAGCTGTATTAGGTCTTTTCAATGCTGCTCATGAAATGGTTCACAGCCAATCTGATCCTAGTTTTCCTCGTTTGGGTCAAATGATAATGGATTACGATATACCATTGAAGAAACTATCTGAGGAATTTGTTCCTCATTCAAAGTTATTGAAAAATGCTCTCACTTCTTTGTGGCCAATTTATCCTGGTAGAAATCTAACCGCTGATACTTGGAGGGCAGATCAGAAACTCAGTTTAGTAGGAAGTCCTGGACAAATATTGAAAGCGGCTGCTACTGATACGATGTCATGTGAAACCCTGAGTTTAGATAGAATCGAAAGATGGGTTATACTTGGCTTTACGCTCTGCCATACGTTTTTGAGTCAAGAACAACCTAATAAACTTTGGATCACCGCTTTAGAATCCGGTTGGGTATTAGCTTTGTTTAGAGATGAAGTTATTTATATACATCAATATATTCAGACATTTTTCGAGAGTATGAAAGGATACAGTAAGAGGGTATCGGAAGTTAAAGATTGTTATAATCAAGCAGTACAGAAAGCTGGTTATAGACACAGAGAAAGAAGAAAATTTTTGAGGACAGCTTTGAAGGAATTAGGTTTAATTTTAACGGATCAACCTGGTCTTCTTGGACCGAAAGCATTGCTCGTGTTAATGGGACTATCTCATGCTAGAGACGAGGTTTTATGGCTTTTAAGACACGGTGATAATCCTCCGACTCAAGGAAAAGGGAAAGGCAGAGGCAGTGAAGATTTAGTGGATCGACAGTTACCGGAATTGCTCTTTCATTGCGAAGAATTAAGAGCGTTAGTAAAGAAGTATTCTCAGGTGCTTCAGAGGTACTATGTTCAATTTCTGTCAGGATTTGATGCTCCCGCATTGCATCAAATGATACAAAATCTTCCAGTTTGTCCTGAAGACGAGGGAGCAATTCTTAGTGATATGTGCTCAACGATCGCGAGTTTGACTGTAAAGCAAGTAGAGGATAATGAACTATTCGATTTTCGTCCTTTCAGATTGGATTGGTTTAGATTACAAGCTTATATGTCTATTGCCAAATGTAATATGAATTTAGCAGATAACAGAGAATTAGCTTCTTTCATGGATACGGTAGTTTTTCATACAAAAATGGTAGATAATTTGGATGAAATGTTAGTAGAAACGTCGGATTTATCGATATTTTGTTTTTACAGTAAAATATTTGAGGATCAGTTTCACATGTGTTTAGAATTTCCAGCACAAAATCGATACATAGTTGCTTTCCCGTTAATATGTAGTCACTTTCAAAGTTGTACGCATGAGTTGTGTCCAGAGGAACGTCATCATATTCGCGAAAGAAGTTTATCCGTGGTAAATATGTTTTTAGATGAAATGGCTAAGGAAGCTAAAAACATAATAACGACTATTTGCGATGAACAATGTAACATGAGCGATATGCTTTTACCTAAACATTGTGCCGTATTAATATCTCAAGTTGTTAATAGAAAGAAAAAGGACAAGAATAAAAAGAATATGAGTGAGATACATAAACCAGGTATAGAAAGTTACAGAAAAACTAGAGAAGAATTAACAACGATGGATAAATTACATATGGCTTTAACGGAATTGTGTTATGCAATTAATTATTGTCCTACCATCAATGTATGGGAATATACATTTGCACCTAGAGAATATTTACATCAACATCTCGAATCACGATTTGCTAGAGCTCTTGTTGGAATGGTTATGTATAATTCGGATACAAACGAGATAGCTAAACCATCAGAATTATTTGTCAGTGTCAGATCTTACATGAATGTATTACAAACTGTAGAAAATTATGTACACATAGATATTACTCGTGTATTCAACAATGCTCTACTCCAACAGACTCAAGAATTAGATAGTCATGGTGATAAAACTATAGCTGCACTATATACACAATGGTATTCGGATGTACTCCTTAGACGAGTTAGTGCTGGAAACATATGTTATTCTGGAAACCAAAGAGCATTTGTCAGTTTATCCGTAGAGGGAGCAATTCCTTTTAATGCAGAAGAGTTCTCCGATATTAACGAATTAAGAGCATTGGCTGAATTAATTGGACCATATGGTATGAAGATGTTAAACGAAAATCTAATGTGGCATATAGCTAGCCAAGTACAACAATTAAAAAAATTAGTCGCAGGAAACAAGGACGTTCTTATTGCGTTAAGAACTAATTTTGATAAACCTGAAGTAATGAAAGAACAATTCAAAAGATTGCAAAGTGTTGATAATGTACTTCAGAGAGTAGCTATAATAGGAGTAATACTGAGTTTCAGGCAATTGGCACAATCTGCATTGGTCGACGTTTTGGAAGAACGTATTCCGTTCCTTTTGAGTTCGATACTTGATTTTCGACATCATTTACCATCCGGTGATCCAATGAGGATCGTTTCTGAGATGACATCTGCTGCCGGTTTAACGTGTAAAGTTGATCCTACATTAACCACTGCTTTAAGAAGTCAAAAAGCAGAAGTTGACGAAGATGAACACTTGTTGGTTTGTTTATTAATGGTATTCGTAGCTGTATCTATTCCTAAGTTGGCAAAAAATGAAAATTCATTTTATCGAGCATCTCTCGAAGGCCACTCGAACAATATTCATTGTATGGCAACAGCTATAAATAATATATTTGGTGCGTTATTCACGATTTGTGGACAAAACGATATAGAAGATAGAATGAAGGAATTTCTCGCATTGGCATCCTCCAGTTTATTGAGACTCGGTCAAGAAGCTGATAAAGAAGCTACTAGAAACAGAGAATCAGTTTATCTTTTGTTAGATCAAATAGTTCAAGAATCACCTTTTCTAACAATGGATTTATTGGAAAGTTGTTTTCCATACGCTCTTATACGAAATGCATATCACGACGTGTACAAGCTTGAACACTCTCAGCCATAGAAATTACAATGATAATGGGGACAAACAAAAAAAAAATATATATATATATATATATCGAATCAACGATCAATGCGCGATATAGTCATACTCAGAGCTACTTTTCTACGTCCAATTTTGTGTACCATCAACAAACTCGTACACTATATATATATCATTGGGATTATAACTTGAAACATGAGAGAGAACGAAAAGAAAATGATAATAATAATAATAATAATAATATTAATATTAATAATAATAATAATAACAATAACAATAATAATATTAGTAATAAAAAGCTCTGACCAAGAAATTTATCAATTGTGGAAGAAATGAAAAAGTAATTCGAGTTTATGTATGTCGTCTGCTACTGCAACAATATATGTATCTCGTTTTTAATGTCAACGTTTATAGGAAGACACATTTGTTTTTTCTGGTCCATTGACGATCAATGAAAAATCAAGTTGCG